TTTTGGTTAATCTAAATTTGTATCAAAATATATACTTTAGTTACATATGTTTTGTATATGTTTACTAGGTGTGGTTGTACTACTACTACTACAATCTAAAAACAATAACAACTACTCTGAACAACAAATTCATACATTTTATTATTTATCTACAAGTAAAATAAATTCAAATTGTAAAAAATAAAACATGATCACACTGAATGACCTTAATTGTTAATAATTCATGAAAAACTAAATACTAATAATATTTATTTTTATAATGATAAATTGTTTAAAAGGTGTTAGTTTGATAAATTTCTTGATTAAATCAGTTAAAAAGTTAAACTTTTCATTCAAAATTCAATTAAAATATTGCAATTTCAAATAATAATAATACTACACTTTCTCCTCTTCAGCTATGGATCAACGGTACTACACATTTAAATGTAGTCACCTTAGGCACCTCCCGGTAAACACAGTATTTTCGGGCAGACTTTTGGAGGTTTTCGCGTTTTTACACATTTGAAATCATCAATCAATCATTGTTACTAGATCACCACCATTAGAAACCTGGAAGCACTGAAAGACGGCCGTTTCGTGCTGACTCATCAGCAGTGCTCATCCACGACTCCTGCTCCTCGCACGATTCGAACCCGAGACCTTCGGTATTGTGCGTGAACGCCTAACCATCAGACCACTGGGTCGGCATCCAACAGTGTTAATGTCTAACTCTGATTGATCTAGAGATTTTTGCGCGTTCTCACTCATTTGTCTTTGGTAGTTACTGCCCACATCCGACAGGGTTGAACTCCATTAGTCACGTCTTCTCAACTAGAACTCCGAGAATTTCCTCACGAAGCTAGTCACTAGTGAGCAGCACTGTTACGATATTTTGGGGCAGAGTTTTGGAGGTTTTCGCGTTTTTACACATTTGAAATCATCAATCACAGTATTAGTAATAGATGAACCTCAAAAAATATACTTCCAATCTTGTGAGATTTATATATTCAATTTGATCAATGTTCGACGGAACATCTGAAAGATACACCAGATGAATATTTTTAATTTTTGTTTAAATAGACAATAAGTCCTACACATATAAATCATTCTCAAATTGATATTAAACTATATTTAACCAGAAATCAGTAGTTTCTTTTGAAAAAATATAATTTCTTATTCAATATTTATTATCTAAATGAATTACACAAGTGAATTTCTTTTTTTTTTCTTTTCAAACATAATTTCACTTTTGAAATTATCAAAATCAAAATTGAACATTTAACAATAATCCACTACTTAACAGTTTTGATTATCTTTGATTGTTGAGAGCAAAAAAAAAAGAATTTCGCAACATTGTACACATTCAACATTGAAAATGTTTAATATCGTTCATTAGTTACATTCTTTTGTGTGTGTGTGTGTGTGATGCATTTAAATATCACATAGATTTTTTTTTGTGACAAGCTAATAAATTGAATATTGAAGTAACACATTTATTCAAAGCGCTTGATATAATCTCAATTTTATCAGAAAATAAAACTAAAATTGTACCGCTGAATACTACTACTGGTTAATAATATCTTGCTCTCTCTACATAAATATGCCGAGACAAGAGATAACTATTGTGATTTTTATTTTATTTAAAGACAGACAAATTGAAGTATCTATCCTGTTAAGCTCTTGGGGAACAATCAATGTGTGATGTAAGAAAAACTTACATACCATTATTCACTCTGATAAAAGAAAAGAATATTTCGAAATATATAATTTTGTTTTCTTAAAGAATAAAACACATACTATTGTTGTCCAATGTTGTAGTGTGTAAATGAGTTGATTTTATTGAGACGAATAGTTAATTTATTGAATGAAATGTGTCAGAAAACAAGTTTTGTAAAGTTTATAAAGCTAGATAGTGTTAGTAGTATGAAATATCAGAGAATAAAACAGATAGATTTCATTGATGATTACGAATATTTACGCAGTGATTAATTACTTTATGGTATCCAAAATTATCATGCGAAACATGGCCGGTAAGAGTGGAGGACATTCGTAGGGTTATTAGTATTGGATTATGGATGTCTTCGAAGCATTGCTTGTATATTCTAGGATAGCCGAGTAAGCAATACTATCGTTAGGAAACGAGTTCTAGTTAAGGATGGCAAATCAATAGATGAAGCATTGAAACTTCGTCAGTTGAGGTGGTTCGGACATGTGTTACGAATGCTCAGCCACTGAATGCCTCGTCGAGCTATGTTTTGTGGTGTAGGATTAGGTTGGAAGAAATCTAGGGGTGGCCAAGCCCAAACATGGTACAAATCCATGAAGTCATTGACAAGTGAACTAAGTCATGTTGGTAGATGCAGGTTACCTGATTGGAGTCCGCGAGACGAAAGTCACCGATGGTTAGAGACCTTGAATGACATGTCTCAAAATCGTTTGCAATGGCGCATATGCATTTGTTCATTGTGTTCTCTAAAATTCTAACCTTCTGAATTCCTCATCACTCCTATCTTTCTCGTTTTAAAGTTATCTCACTGAATTATACTTCTCAAATCATATCTTCGAATCCTAATCTTCTCCATTACTGCTAATACTTCTACTATCTCTATGACTATGAGATTTGAACTGACAGTTGCGTCTCTGTGTTGATGCGTTATGGCAACCTGAACTGATGTACTCAGGTACGTAGTTCCACATTGATCCAAAATCATTTCATTCGACTTTGAGTGTTAATCGTTTTCTAACAAATAAAAAAAAATTACTTGTCTAATTGATTCAAAATCGAGATGGTCATCTTTTATTTTCAATATATCAACAGTCATCAATCAGATAGATGTATCTGGATGCTCAAATTTACTCTCTCTCTCACTCTCTCTCTCTACTCATAGAATCCTACTCATACAAACTTATTGAGTATACAAAGTTGAATCAGTTTTCTTTTTCTCTACCAAAAACACTATCAACGCAGTATTCTGATACAATCGTTTTTTCTTCAAAATAATATTGTTTTTGGTATATTAAACATGTAGACCTAAGAATAGAGCAACTGATTACACATTCTATTCTCTATTCCTTTTATACATTCTATATTGATATAAATGTCTGGAGATAAATGTTTTCGTTATTTACAATTTCCGTGAAATCATTTTAATCATTTATTGACATACAGAATTATAAACCAGAAAAAATAACAATGATCTAATCATCTATTGATATCAATTGAGTTTCATTTATTATTATTATTATTATTATTACTAATACTATGCATAGAGTATTACAATAAGTAGTAGTAGTAGTAGTAATAGTAGTACTGATATAAGTAGTCTACACTAATCAATCAAACAAATATAATTCTATCCTTGCAATAATCACTTCCTGACTTTATTCATTTCAATTCTTCATGGACTATTGGTTACCCTTTATTGCTTATCTCATTATTTATACACTTGTCTGATTTTGAATCGTATACACAACACACTAAATAAAAAAAATTGATATCTCATTTGTAAGTGTGTGTGTGTGTGTGTGCGCGCGCGTTTTATTTTTTTCCAAAGACAAAAAAAAATGTATACTTTTAATGTCTATTATCAAAATTGATTTAGAAATAAAAGAAAATATCGAAAACAAATCATTCCCTGAATTTGAGTTAAATTATTTTTTTATTAAAAAAATAAACTGTAATTAATAATCATGATCGATGACAGAATGGTTGGTGGTATACAGTCAGTCATAAATGAATAAATAAATTATTTCCTGATCTGGAAAAAAAATGCAATATAAGAAAATATTAATTTTTTTTTCTATATTGTGAAAATAATAATAATTTAATTAAAGTTAGATATTGGTTGTTGTCTACAACCGATAAGGTTTAGAGCTTCACTGGTCATGACTTCTTACTAGAAGAATGTCTGAGAATTTACTGACGAAGATAGTCGTTAATAGTGGTGATGAGCACATTTTACGATTTTTTTCTTGAATTTGAGTTATGGAGATTAGTGTTTCCTGCACACTGAAATCATCAGTCAATCATTCATTATCAGATCACCATTAAAACCTGAAAGCACTGCAAAAGACGGCCGTTTCGTCCTGGTATGAGACTGACTCATCAGCAGTGCACATCCATGTCTAACAATGATTGATTAATGATTTCAGTGTGCAAATAACACTAATCTTCATAACTCTATCATGAAACATCGTAAAATGTGCTCACTTGTGACTAGCTTCCTTGGGGAAATTCTCGGAGTTCTAGTGAGAAGATGTGACCAGTGGAGTTCAACCCTGTCGGGTGTAGGTAGTAACTACCAAAGACAAATAAGTGATCTCTAGTTTGATCAGAGTTTGACATTAACACTGTTGGATACTGGTTCAGTGGTACAGAAATGAAGCGTTCGCACGCAAGACCGAAGGTCCTTGGGTTCGAACCCTGCAAGGTGCAGGTATTGTGGATGCGTGTTGCTGATGAGTCCCATACCAGGACGAAACGGACATCTTTCAGTGCTTCCAGGTTCCTGATCGTGGTCTGCCAATCATTGATTGATTGATTGATGATTTCAATTCTGTTATTATTTACCAATTTTCTATGGTTGTTAAACATGTAACTTGTCCATTATTCATTCATTGATTTCAATCTATTTATAAAGATTGGGTGGCGAGTTGTTAGGCGAGTGATAAAACATTTTTAACATTATTCACTGGCACAACTTCAAGCACCTTGACTTCGTTTGTTGTTATTGATTAGCAATAGCGATGATGATTATGAGTATACACTCCATACAGTTATTGTCCGAAGTAAAAACACTTTACACAACCTAAACTGACGTGGTTTGGCTTGCTTTAACGTGATCAACTCTATGTATGATAATGTAACAGTTGGTATTTTCAAACTGCAATATTAATCAATCGTGAAAGCGATGCATGAGATCGTTGGTGTATAAATAATCTCATTTCTAGATATCTAGATATCTATTAAAAAAAGATAACTTTCTTTTCAACTAAAAAGTACTAGTGTTTAAACTTTCAAAATGACATTGTGCAATAACTTTTTATTCAAAAGAGAAGTTAGTTTTCATATGGAGACGTTATATTTTGACTTTTATGCAAATGGTGAGATTCGTTTTTCTTCAAGTAAATACTTAAAAAAAACTTATTATTATCTTTCTTTTTTATCGATTTCTGTTGAATCTAATTAGCTAGTTTCAATTATCATATAAATCAATAAAGATCCTGTTTTATGTAATTAGTTAGGTTATATCAGCTGTTTACCGTTTATTATTAAAATGCTATATAATTTTGGGGCAGATTTTTGGAGGTTTGTGTTTTTACACACTTGAAATCATCAATCAGTCATTGTTACTGGACCACCATTAGAAACCTGGAAGCACTGAAAGACGACCGTTTCGTCCTGGTATTGGACTCATCAGCACAATATCGAAGGTCCCGGGTTCGAATCCTGCGAGGAGCAGGAGTTGTAGATGCGCACTGCCACTGATCAGTCCCATACCAGGACGAAACAACCGTCCACATGCTTCCAGGTTTCTAAAGATGGTCTAACAATGACTGATTGATTGATGACTTCAAATGTGTAAATAATTTTAATCTGTTTTGTAAATATTATTTTTCAGTTGGCAGGTAACACATTACGCCATGTAATCAATAAAATGTTGAGATTTTGATAGAACAAAGTAAATACAATACTAAGATATAAGTGAATCTAATTAAGTTGTACTGAAATTGGATGATTAGTATATTCTGGTACTACTACTACTACTACTACTACTACTACTACTAATAATAATAATAATAATAATAATAATAATAATAATAATAGTAATAATTCACTACGCCTATTTATTGAAAAAATACTACATTTTCAGTCTAAACAGAAATCAATGAATAACTTGACACTTACCATTTACAATAAAATGAATCAGTGATAGATTCTCAAAATAATGAATAAGCTTGGATTATTTTTATCTTTTAGTTAAGTTAAGTAGGATAGAAATGTTTTAGTAATTATTATTTCTTAAAGCGTAATAAACTACCTATAGATAAAGTGATTCTCATGACTTAGGATTGAACTTATCCACTTTAAATAGTCTAATGTAATAGAATCTACAACAATCTACTATGAGAGAGAGAACAAACGAGATTCCAGTAGAGGAGGAAATCAAGAAGAATTGGTGGAAGTGCACAGGACACACATTGACGAAAGCATCGAACTGTTTCACAAGATAAGCCCTCACTTGGAACCATCAAGGTAAATGAAAAAGAATAAGGCCAGGGAACACACTACGCTGAGAAATAGAGAATGACATGAGAAGAATGAACAAAAATTGGACAGAACTTTAAAGGGAAGCCTACGACAGAAGAGTAGGTTGGAGAAAACTGGTCGTCAGCCTATGATCCATTGGGAGGGGGGAGGGGTAACAAGCGTAAGATCAACAATGCCTTCAACATATAATTAGGAGAAATTTATTAATAATTAATAATCTTGTTTAGGTCAAATAGTGAATATTGAATACATATATATTTTAAATGAAATTCAGGTCAAATTTATTACAAGTTAAGTTAAATTAATGACATTTTGATGCAATCAATTGATGTAGTTTTCATAATTTGATATTTATAGAAATTCATTAGACAACCTAACTAAATATAACACATAGAATAGTGTAAACGCTTTTTTAGGTTATACAACAACTCCCGAAGACCAACATGAATCATAATAAATATCGATTGAAGTTTAATTAGTTTTATGCCGAAATAATGAAATTGTATTATTTTTTTTTCATTTCGATTTGCATTGGTTATCTGAATGTTCCGATTGATATTTAAGATCGTGATTCATTAATCTCTTATGGTATATGTGATATCTTGTAGATTGTTTCAATATTTTCATTGTAATCAAAGTTAAACAATGATTAGCAGTAGAATCCAGGAAGCGTATTTCGTCCAGTTATAGTCTCATCAGTTGGATTGACTGAATCTTATAGTTGACGTCCACTCTAAGACTCTAACCCAGTAGGTTTTTACTTTGTCTACATATCTAGTGGGGTCATCAATTGTCTGATAATTTTCAGTCCTAAACATGAATATGAAAACCTAAACAGTTCAGAAAAGCACATTAAAATTCACTTCATTACACAAGCCAATAGCTATCTAGAAACATTAGATAAGTAGATAGATAATAAGTCGGATTTTAATAGTGAAAGGTTTTTGGATTTGAATCTCAGAGAGCACATCAACACTGAGATGCAGATAGATCCAAGTCCCAAATCGGGTTGGAATGTATGTCCAGTATTCCACAGCTATCCACGATATAAATCTGCTTAAAATGTATGGGATTTTATACACTTCATAAGTGAATGTATTGGTGGATTGTATCATTAAGCTATTTGTTTTCGTACGCAATACTACTGAAACCGAGAGAGAGAGAGAGAGAGAGAGAGATAATGACTTACACTGACACACAAACATTTCTCACATGACTATAGATCTCAAGAATAAATGAAGTTTTATTTTTTTTTTTTAAAAACATCAAAATATTTTGAAATTGATTTTAATCTGCACGAAATTATATTTTCTATCCTATATATTTTTTGTCCTACTAATCAACAGGTGATCATCGTAGATCCGGAGGGCACGATTATCGTCGTCATACATCTGGACATATACATTCATCGGATTCACATCCTCGTACATTTAGCGGAGGAGGTGCAACACATAGTGAAGTTGGTGAAGGCGGTGTAGGCGGTCTTGTTGGTGATAGTCACGGTGGTGGTCATTCTTCATTTGGTGGTCACGAACCAGGCGGTGTAATGGATGCAACATTTATTTGGAAATTAACTAAACTTGGACGAATTGGTTCATCTCGTCTACGGTTTGATGATGATTTTGCTGATAGACTTAATTATCAATATACTGGAGTATTAATGTTTTTATTCATTGGTCTTATAGGAATAAGACAATATGTTGGTAAGTAAATTATGTTTTATTTTAAAAACTTTCTACTTTTTGTTAACTGACAGCATAAAATTTATGATTGAAAATCGTTACCAGTGATATGGTAAATAAAAATGTTGCGAATACAAGAATATTTATGAAAATTGAGGTGAAGAGAGGGAAGAATGATGTCACTGTGAACAGGATAATTATGATATTTGAGTGTGTTAATAAATGAGAAATGAATTACAATATATTTACTTACTTCCTTACTTACTAACGCCTGTTACCCCAAAATGAGCATAGGCCCCCTACCAGTTTTCTCCAACCAACTCTTCTGTCCTCGGCTTCCCTTTACAGTTCTGTCCAATTTTTGTTCATTCTTCTCATCTATTTTTCTATTTATCGGCGTAATGTATTCTTTGGCCTTCCTCTTTTCCTTTTGCCTTGAGGGTTCCATGTGAGGGTTTGTCTTGTGACGCAGTTGGGTGCTTTCTAAAGTGTGTATTCTTTCCACTTCCACCGCTTCTTCCTGATTTCCTTCTACACTGGAATCTGTTTTTTCCTCTTACACATTAGGTTGTTGTTGATGATGTATGTTCAACGAATCGGAAGTATTTTGCATAGACAACTGTTCATAAATACTTGCATCTTCTGGATGATGGCTTTCGTAGTTCTCCAAGTTTCCGTTCTATATAATAGTAAAACTGTCTTGACATTTTGTATTGAAAATCATGATTTCGGTGTTGATTGATAGTTGTTTGGAGTTGCAGATATTTTTCAATTGTAGAAATGCAGCCCTTGCTTTGCCGATCTGAGCCCTCACATCTGCATCGAATCCACTTTGGTTGTCGATGATGCTGTCCAGATATGTAAAGGTGTTAACGGTCTCCAAGGCGTGTCCACCGATAGTGATTTGTTTGGTGCATGTTGTGTTGCATCGTAGAATTGTGCTTTTCTCTTTATGTATGTTGAGACCTACTGCTGCAGAAGCTTCTGCTACACTGATCGTCTTCTCTTGCATTTGTTATTGCGTGTACAACTACAATATATAGATTACATAATATCTAGTTATGTTAGAATAAATTTAACGAAGTTATAGTTTATTAAGATTCTGGAGTTTTTTTATCAATCTCAAATGTTGCATAGCATGAAGTGCCTTAATCATGTTCCACCTAATACTACTGTTTATCAACCCACTGAGAGGAAAAATAGACCTCTTAATCAATCCTAATTGTTCAATAATCGTACATGTTTTATGGTATTTTGTAGTTTTCTGACAGTTTCGCCTAATTATACATTCAATGTAAGTGCGTCTACGACAGCCATTGACTTTTTAAATGCAGACAAGTAATAAAAATTTGAAAAGTCTCTCTCTCTGTACTGATAAGATGGCATAAAAATTACTTATCTTTACGCAAAGATTTCAAAGTCAGAATTATTTATCAATAAAGAGAGATTGTAGAGATTGTTGAATTCCATTAAAATTATGAACTGAACAAAAATGTAGGCCAATTTTGAAAAGCTCTATACATGAGATGACTTTTTAATCCTTATATATAGAACATTTTAGAAGTAGACAACCAACACACAACTTTGTACTCGCTAATCGATGTCTAGGGCAAAACAGTTAGTTGTCTAGTACCTACAGATGTTTTAGATTAGATTAGATTAGATTAGATTAGATTAGATTAGTGCATCATTTCATTGGAATTCAGAATTCTTTGTAAAACTGAAAAATTGATAATCATTATAAAAGTAATTAACACATAAACGGAAATATGCAAATTACAAATGCAATAAAGAACAACCGTATCCACCAATCAAAATTGTCATTCTCAATGAAAAAAAAACAAAACAGAATAATATTTCTATCAAATGATAATCTATCTTAATGCAGAGTGTTGTTATCTGTTTCTACCAATTTTGCTTAATTTTCCATTATTCACAATCCCAAATAAGGTTTTTTTTATGCGAGATCATGTGACTTCCCTTCATTATTGTATGATCTAAATTATTCACATACTCACTGGAATTTTATCAATAAATAAATCCAAGTGATTTTTTGCTAATGTAATTTGAATCTGTAACATTTATTAAAATCATTTCAGTTTATTGAGTGGAAATATGTAATCCTAAATAAGTTTTAGGTTCATACAATTGCAATGTTAAGGTAAACTAAGTACTAGAGGGAGAGACATCATGCAATTGTTCGAGCAGACAGATTTGAGAATTCGAAATCATCAATCAATCATTGTTACTAGATCACCACCATTAGAAACCTGGAAGCACTGAAAGATGGCCGTTTCCTACTGGTATGGGACTCATCAGCAGTGCGCATCCATGACTCCTGCTCTCCGCAGGATTCAAACCCGGGACATTCGGTATTGTACACGAACGCCTAACTGTCGGACCACTGGGTCGGCATCCAACAGTGTTAATGTCTAACTCTGATTGATCTAGAGATTTTTGCGCGACCTCACTCATTTGTCTTTGATAGTTACTACCTACACCTAACAGGGTTGAACTCCATTGGTCACGTCTTCTCAACTAGAACTCCGAGAATTTCCTCACGAAGCTAGTCACTAGTGAGCAGCACTGTTACGATATTTTGGGGCAGAGTTTTGGAGGTTTGCGTTTTTACACGTTTGAAATCATGGTCCGATGGTAAGGCGTTCGCCTACAATGCCAAAGGTCCTGGGTTCGAATCCTGAGAGGAGCAGGAGTCATGGATGCGCACTGCCACTGATGAGTCCCATACCAGGAAGAAACGGCTATCCAGTGCTTCCAGGTTTCTAATGGTGGTGGTCTAACATTGATTGATTGATGATTTCAAATGTGTAAAAACACAAACCTCCAAAACTCTGCCTCAAGATATGAGAATACATAGCGTGAAAGCAAAGCAAAGCAAAGTGAAGTGGTGTTGGATTGCTTGTCTTCTCTGTGTCACTTTGTCTTGTTTTAACGCTTTATATTTTCATGTTTGTCTGCGTAAACAATTGCATCGAATAAATTTATCCACAAAACCGTATTTAGCGTCTTCAAACCGCCGTCGCACAAACAGGGTTCACCTAAGTATAATATACAGGAATGGAGGGGATATTTTATTTCACAGCATATTGGAGTCAGATCACAGGCTACTGAAGCGGTGAGTTCTACTTTGAATCTAACGCAGCCACTAAAGACCATTATGTAATAGGATACAAGAAACTGATGAAATTTGTTAGCAAACAAAGGATGCACGTAACATTAACTATCAAAAATTGAATTGAATAATAATGAAGTAATCATATTACATGTAATAATTGTACTAATACCATTAAATAACAAAGCATGACATTGGTTACTACTACTTTGTGATCAATCAGTTCACATTAAAAATTTATCATAAAAATTAATAGGCTGAGTAACAATTTCTATGACAGTGTCTTTTGATAGTTTCGACTGATTAATGAATGATTATTAGTTGGCAATAGTTGAGGCTAAATCCACTAAGTTTCAAGTTCAAATCAACTTGAACTAACTCACTTAGATCAAAATGAATTTTTTGGTCATTTACTGCGTTTACTGTGTTCCGGTTGAAGTATTTGTCGGAAGACCAGTTGAAAGCCTTAATCCTCATTTACAGCTTAAAGTTCCAAAAATTTCAGTGAGTAAGAACACGGCTACTGTGCCCACTTGATCGAAATAGTAAACTCACTCACTCTTAGTTACATGGCCAATGAATACCAACGCCTCATTAACCTATGACGAGACACAACTATAATGCAGAGTAAAGGGTCTAGTTGATCTAAAGTGTATTTAGTACAGCAGATACCTAACCAGAATAAATGTGCCCCTGCTACACCCAGTCCATCTCACTCCAACTCAGTCAGAAAAAGACGTAAACAAATCCCCCCGGCTCCTTGCTTGCACTGTATTTCATGGCACTATGTACGAAACTGCCCATTTAGGCAATATCGATACAGAAAGTGTAAGGTCACCGGTTATAAAGATAATATTTGTCTAAAGAGAGAGGCAAACCGATCCAAAAGTACCACGAAATCTGTTCCTAGATCCGGTACCAATTCCTTGAGCCTAATATATATCATATCATACTGACAATTTCTTAAAATCTCTTTTGTTTTCCACAACTTGTTTATGAATGCTGTATTGATATTGTTGTTTTTCATATACTAGAAAATTGTGGATTTCATATTTTTGCAGAAAAATAAACTTATCTTAGTTTTCACAACATTTAGGACATCTTATAAAATCGATCAACTGTTTATTTACTCCACTTAGTTTAAAATGTTTCAATCTTTATCTCCGTTGAAACTCTCTAATTATTACGCAAACATAACAATTTTCGCATTTAAAAATTATCAATAAACGTATAAATTGATGTAAATTTGAGTGAAAATCTGATTTATGTCTTATCTACCTACAATCATTTATAACGTTATCTGTATTCACTAAGAGAGAGGGAGTAATTTTTTCAATTTGTTCAATAGATAATTGCTGCATATTAAAAAACTGTCATTTTTTCCCATTGAAAATTTGATCATGTTGATATTTTCCCCAGTTTTGTTTTAATGCACAACTACAATAAATCTATTCACAGGGAACAAATGTAGTAGGTCACTCGAACTTCGTGAAATGAATTCTACATTACGGGGTTGTGAAGATTGTTAAGTTACACAAATTTTGAAACCATGAATCGATGTTCAATGTTAGACCACCATTAGAAACCTGGAAGCACTGTAAGACGGCCGTTTCTCTCCTGGTATAAGACTCTTAAGCAGTGAGCATTCACGACTCCTGCACCTAGCAGGATTCGAACCCAGGACCTTCGGTATTGCAGGCGAACGCCTAACCATCGGACCACTGAGTAGGTACCTAACGGTGTTAATTTCTAATTTGATCAATTCACGGAGTTGCACATCCTCATACACACTGTCTTCGGTAGTTACTGTCTACACCCGAACAGGCTGAACTTCACTGGTCACGTCTTCCCACTAGAACTTGGAGACCACTCACGAAGCTAGTCATTA